AGCTGCTGGCACTTATCTGTGTTTTCTTTGCCCTCCTCAAGTGGTAGAGCATGGTAGAGATCCTGTTAAACCTGCTTCCAGCCCAGAGTAGATTCTTCAAGCTGGTTTTGTTCAACTCAGGTTCCAAGCTCACCGCCTTCAGGATTGAAGCTCTCACCTGGGTCAGCAGAAGCTGGCCTTCAGGCTGAACCAGCAGCAAGCTCTTCAGCAAGTCAAAGTGCATGGCTAAACTTTCTCCATCTGCAGCCAAGTTCTATCATGGGGGGGCGCAGCCCCCCCCCAACCCCCCCGCCTATGTTTAACGGAGCCCGACGTTCTTCGTTGTTCTTGTTCAGTTCTATAATGGGGGGGCTGCCCCCCCCCCAACCCCCCCGCCTATTATGTTTGGCGGGCTGCGCCTCGCCCAACCCCCCCGCCTCTGTTTGGCGGAGCCCGGAGTTCTTCGTGGTTCTTGTTCAGTTCTATAATGGGGGGAATGGGGGGAGGCTGCGCGCCGCCCAACCCCCCCGCTATGTTTGGCGAAGCCCGACGTTCTTCGTCGTTCTTGTTCAGTTCTATCATGGGGGGGCTGCGTCCCCCCCAACCCCCCCCCCCCTATGTTTGGCGGAGCCAGACGTTCTTGGTCGCTCTTGTTCAGCTCTATCATGGGGGGCCCCGCCTATGTTTGACGGAGCCCGACGTTCTTCGTTGTTCTTGTTCAGTTCAATACTGGGGGGGGGACGCAGCCCCCCCCCAACCCCCCGCCTATGTTTATAGGAGCCACTTCTTCGTTGTTCTTGTTCAGTCTATAATGGGGGGGGGCAGCCCCCCCAACCCCCGCCTATGTTTGGCGGGTTCTGCGCCCCCCGCCTGTTTTTCTGGTTTTTTTATTTTTTTGGCGGAGCCCGGAGTTCTTCGTGGTTCTTGTTCAGTTCTATAATGGGGGGAATGGGGGGAGGCTGCGCGCCGCCCAACCCCCCCGCGATGTTTGGCGAAGCCCGGAGTTCTTCGTGGTTCTTGTTCAGTTCTATAATGGGGGGAATGGGGGGAGGCTGCGCGCCGCCCAACCCCCCCGCTATGTTTGGCGAAGCCCGACGTTCTTCGTCGTTCTTGTTCAGTTCTATCATGGGGGGGCTGCGCCCCCCCAACCCCCCCCCCCCTATGTTTGGCGGAGCCAGACGTTCTTGGTCGCTCTTGTTCAGCTCTATCATGGGGGGCCCCGCCTATGTTTGACGGAGTTGTTCTTGTTCAGTTCTATAATGGGGGCAGCCCCCCCCCAACCCCCCCGCCTATGTTTGACGGAGCTGCCCCCTTTCCCGCTTTGGGATTCGAATCCCGAATGATTGGGATTGGCGACTCCCGTTTTGGGGATTCGAATCCGAATCCCGAATCTCGAACTTGGGATTGGGATTCGCAGATCTCGTTTTGGCAAATTCGAATCGCGAATCCCGAATCCCGAATCCCGAAATTGGGATTTGGGGTTCGCGAATCCCGCTTTGGGATTCGAATCCCGATTCCCGAATCCCGAATCCCGAAACTGGGATTGGGATTCGCGAATCCCGCTTTGGGATTCGAATCCCGAATCCCGAAATTGGAATTGGGATTCGCGAATCCCGCTTTGGGATTCGAATCCCGAATCCCGAATCCCGAAATTGGGATTGGGGTTCGCGAATCCCGCTTTGGGATTCGAATCCCGAATCCCGAAATTGGGATTGGGATTCGCGAATCCCGTTTTGGGATTCGAATCCCGAATCCCCAATCCCGAAATTGGGATTGGGGTTCGCGAATCCCGTTTTGGGGATCGAATCCCGAATCCCGAATCCCGAAACTGGGATTGGGATTCGCGAATCCCGTTTTGGGATTCGAATCCCGAATCCCGAAATTGGGATTGGGATTCGCGAATCCCGAACCCCGAATCCCGAATCCCGAAACTGGGATTGGGGTTCGCGAATCCCGTTTTGGGATTCGAATCCCGAATCCCGAATCCCGAATCCCGAAACTGGGATTGGGATTCGCGAATCCCGTTTTGGGATTCGAATCCCGAATCCCGAAATTGGGATTGGGATTCGCGAATCCCGTTTTGGGATTCGAATCCCGATCCCGAATCCCGAAACTGGGATTGGGATTCGCGAATCCCGTTTTGGGATTCGAATCCCGAATCCCGAAATTGGGATTGAGATTCGCGAATCCCGTTTTGGGATTCGAATCCCGAATCCCGCCAGGCGGGGCGATCTCCGGATCGCCACTCCAACTGGAAGTTCCAGTCAACAAACAGGCAGCAGATATTATTTTGACGCACTGGTGCGTAGAGTGCGCACAAGTTACGTGGAACACAGTTTCACTGCCAAACGTCGACCGTTTTTGTCGCTCCGAGTCCTAAACAAATCTTAAGGCAAAGTGGACGCATTCCAGAAACACTTCTACATCTCAGGAGACGATGGGAAAATCACATTTCCAACTGGGGGTTTTCCTCAACACATGGCATATTGAACGGACGTGTGCACGCGAGCATGCATACACAGCAAGCTTTGCAATGCTGAGGCATGGGCGCCACACAGCCCTGCACTTCCTCTTCGCTGGTTCCCTCTGGAGCGCAAACGATGTCAATCAGCAAAGGCGGCGAGCACTCGATGTTCACAACCAGGAAATCACAAAGGAGCTGGCGCGAGCTGTCCACAGCTATCCGAAAGGCCAACGTCCTTGGCTGGCTGGCAGCCACGGGCTTGATTCCGCAATGTTGCAACCCTGGCCGTGAGTGCTTGCAGCTCACATTTCAAGGACCATCCACATCCAGTGTGGTCGGCTAGGAAAAGAAAAGAGACATCGCGCCAGAGCATGCAACACGAACTAATAACTCTCCACAAGGAATGCGCAGGCCTCCAAATGTGCTGGATGCTCTTCACAAATCGGGTTGCGATGCTTGGTGCTTCTTGCGATAGGTTCCAGCGCTTGGCCCAATACCACTGCCATTCTGTAGCTCTCCGCAGCTCTCGTTCTGGCCCTTGTTGCCATGTGGAAACGCGCGGACATGCACCCTCTACCTTGGGAACCAGTTTGCGCATTTCAGCGCCGACTCACTCTAACAAACACAACACTTCAAGGCAAGCTAAAGCACAGTATATACCTCAAAGCCAGCCAAAAGCGGACTGGCTGAGCCGGGCACCGCGAAGCGTTTACAATTATTGGATAGCAAGCTCGGGCAACCTGGCACGCTTCTCAAAGGATAAGAAAACACAAAAGGCATCCTCACCTCCCTCAAGAGCTTCTCCTTGCCTCGATGCCTTGAAAGTTGAGGACAAATGTTTTGCCAAATTGCTGGTCAAATTAGCTTCGGCCAGGCAGCTCGTTGGGTGGGAGCATGAGGTGGCCCACGTGCTCTGCCCCAATTTGCAGCGAGAATGGTGGCGAGGGCGCCTCGATGTGCAAGGGCAAGTCTCCTGTGAACACAGGAGGAAAAAACAAATCAAAAAACAACTCGGGTTGCCCGGCTCCGTCCAGGCAATCATTAACGGTCAATGCGGCGACTGCAAGCCCAAGCTCACACAGGGTAATACTCCAATCACCAGTTGGAACTGAGTGCACGCCAAATTGGAGACCCGAAACAGCTAGCATGCCTGAGTGGTGGTGCTTGGCAAAAGGCAGCACAGCCCATCGAATCTGTGTAAACAGAGCCAGCTAAAATTGAGCTCATTAAACAAACGCGGGGTCCTTTGGAGATATTGCGCAGCAAAAGATTTCGCGTATTGCCTCCACCAGTAAATCGGAGGTGTCTGGGTACAGCATCCGCTAAGTGATGCGCCATTTGCTGCAATTCGCGAAGGTAGCGGTTGCAGCTCTCCCAGTCACAATCAGTGATCAACACTTTGGCCCCTTTGGGGCAAACGGCAAAGAAATGCAATCTGTAGACTGATGATTGGATGAGCTATCTGCTGTAATGTTGAGAAAGTACAAATGAGGTAGCAGCCAGATTCAAGGTGTCGGGTTCTGTTCTGTCAATCCTCCGAATTGCCATCCAAGGGTATTCCTCCATGGGCTGTTGAAACTCTTAGATTCTAGCTTCACCATCTCACATGAGCCCACTTGACAGCTCTGACGTTACGTTCCCATCAGGAATTCTCATTGGAGGCAGCTCGGCCTTGAGCTGCAATGGGCGAAGCGGAACTTAGACAGCCGGCTGCTCGTTGGGGTCCGGGCGAGGTTTGCAACTGGGTCCTGTTCTGCCTTCTTGCTGGTTTCTGCACCTCAAGGAATTCCGCCTTCAGAACAGCGAGGCAATAAACGCCAGACCTCTCGTGTGTCCGCACGGCTTAGCATGTTTACACCGTTCTCATTTAATGCACAAGCAAGTCTGTTTGTAGCTGGCCCGATCGCCATGGCAAGAACATGATCCTTCCTCACATCCACGAACCACTGTTGGATTGCTTGTGCAAAGTTTTACCAGCACCCAACTAAAAAGCTCTTCCATTTTTTTTTTGGGGGGGAGGGAGGCACTGCTATCTTAGCATATTGCCTGCGAATCAACAAGCTGCAACATGTCATTCCTATGAATCTGATCTTGTGGCTTGTCTAACCTAGCGCCTGGCACAACTCAAGAGCTGTACGCACGGAGATGCATGACGTTTACGCCCTGGAAATTCAAAGATGCTGAAGCACACTGCCCCCCCTTTTCTTTCGGTGCATTAGCTGCACACTGCGGCTGCCACATCTCCTTTGGAGTTGTGCCAAGCAAAGTGAGTGGGAATCTCTTGCAGTGTTGTTTCTTATCAACCACCACCGTCCCATCCACAAACATTTTCCATTGTTGTGGACCAAACGGTACCCCGTTAAAACCTGCAAGGGCTGTTGGGCCCCTGGGCTGGCGGTGCAGAACTCATGCGCACCAGCCAGAAGATCAATTCTAATAAACAGCCCCAAAAATGCCACAAGGGAAAAGTGCAAGATTGCTGTGGGCAGCCCAGCGGCACAGGGCAAGCTGAATTCATTTTGCAAATTGCAGCACCGCAACGCATACCTGCTCTGGGTCATGCAACGACTAGATTCGACTTGGCAGTATCATCCAGCGCTGCTCCAAGAGTCGACTCGGGGACTAAAAGGTACTGCATGATCTTTGCCACCTGCCTGCGGAGCATCCACAAATCGATGGCCTTGGCAGCGCCACGGAGCTGAATGCAGCCTTCGAGGAACTCTTCAGGCTCGATCTGATAATCCTCGTTGTGGTCAAGGCTGCAAAACAGTGTCCAAGCATCAGTGGCGCCGATTTCAAGGGCCTCGAAGAGTACACGAACTTCTTCGTCTTCGAAGTGCTTCTCGAATTGCAGGAGGCTCAATTTCCCGCACTGGTCATCGTCCATCTTTTGAAACAGCTTTGAAACGCTTTCCTTTAAGTGCTGCTTGTCCATCAGCAAACTCTGCACAACCATTTCCTGGTCTCGCTCGGCGCCTTTGATGGCCGATTGGCAAAACCTCGCTTGACGCTTGGCATCAATTGGCTGGCTGTTCAGCACAACCAAAAAGAACCTCAAAAGGCATCGTTGTTTTCGATATATTTGAACACCATTGGGTTGGGTCTCTATCTAAAAAAAATGCCAATTCAGAGGGAAGGAACACCCCTGTCATGACCTCAGTGGGCAAAGTTTCGGTCTGTGACCTCCTGTCCTCTCGTATGCACACAGCAAACTGCCAGTGAACAAACAAACCGCTTCTTGTAGCCACCCCGTTTGCCAAGATTCATTCAGGACCGCGAAGCAGCAAAATGCCTCGGCCAGAGTTATGAACAACAAAACACAAGTTTTGCTTGTTGATAGGGACAATGAAGGAGAACCAACAAAGCAAAAAGGTTCAAAAGGCAAGCTAAGTCTGGCAATGATGCAATGTACGAGGTGAACAAATACACCCAAACCAAGCTGATGTGATTCAACGCTCTGGCTGCCTCTACCCATGTCAACCCCCCTGATATTGACATGAAGAGGGTCTGCGATGAGGCGTGCAAGTTCCCGAAATATTGATCGAGCATTGTGTTGGCCTCGCTGCCAGGGCTGTCTACAATGTAGTTGTTTGCAACATCTGTAAGCAAAATGCCAAAGACATAGATGATCAGTGCAAGCAGCAGCATCGCCCAAAACAGGGACTTGAGAGTATTCACAATAGAGAATACAAGTGTGCGCAAAGAGCGGAAGAACCGCACCACCCTGATGACGCGAAAGATGCGGGTAATCCGAGTCATGCGCAAAATCCGCAAAATCCGGAGATTGCTGCTGGAGCCTGCGACCTGCTCATCTTGCGCAACCACCTCTATGATGCACTCAAAGACTGCAGTGGCCACCAGGACGACATCAAACCAATTCCAAGCCCAGTGCAAGGACCAAAAGAACCTGTGGGGGCCATGGGCCACCAACTTGATGCTAAGCTCAGAAATGAATAGAACGGTGTACCCGAACTGCACCACTAAGAGCGGGCCGGGCAGGGTGAGTGTACGCTCACGAGCCTCCCACTCGATGCTGATGCCGATGAAAATGGAGTTGCTGGCAATCACCGCGGCAAAGAACGCCTCGAAGAGCCAGGAAGCTGCCACTCTTTGGGCGGCCCGCCTCACCTCCTGTGAAAACATATTTTGACATTCATGCATCAGAACGCAACAACCAATCAGCCTTTTCAACCAGCCGCCCATTGCAAAACAACTCACGCTTGCATCTCGTATGCACCACTCACTCCAGCCTTACAACTCCGCACATTCAACTCGGACACTGGGGAACAATGGGAAAACGTATGCTTTAGTGAAGGTTCCAGCAAACTGTTCCACACGGTTGACGGGCCGTATGACTTGATATACCTGAAAACATTGACATTGATAGTTGGTTTCCTCCGGCCTAGGTTCTGAACAAAACGCTTGTTGGTGGAAACAGGCGCGATATGGGATGCTCTTGAGAGATGCTCGCCGACGCTGGGAATGCTGCACCCACAAGAGCAGTGGAATGGAACAGGGCAGTGCTTTCAATGTTGATTCATTCTCATTCGGAAGTCATTCGCCTCGCTTCGCATGTCATCTTGACATGGGATGCTGTGGTTGGATCGGACAATGCTGCATTCCCGACTTCGGAAACAGCCCTTCTTGAATTGAAGAACTCCTGCTTGTTAAATAGGCTGCTAGCGGTCACTCCAATAGCTTGCATGTCTACAAGCATTGCAATAGTGCTTCTGAAAGGAAACTGCCTTGAACCCTCTGAACCTGCCACCAACTGCCAAGAAAGGTGAGGCAATTCGATTAAGCACTCGCAGCCCCTTCCCACTGCCACCGTGCATGCTATCACACAAAGGGACTTATCACACCCCCGCCACTGCGTGAAAAGGATTGGTGTCAAACGCACTGCGCGTCAGGCTGGGAAAGCAAAGAGCCGAAAAGCCAGAAAGACATATTCCGGAAATGACTTCCAGGTGAAAGTTGGGCAAGGTCCGCTTGTTTTCATGACGTTGTTTTTCCCCGGCTCCTGCAAGAGCCCGGTCTTCTGCGTTTGCTCTTGGCTGGGCCGGGCTGCAGCTTGCAGGCGGCAGCTGACCTCCTTGGCCATCTCGTAGGCAGACTCTGACCTGCGGCATTGGGCATTTGGCTGCCTCAAGTGGGGAACACTCTCCGATTTCCTTTCTTTGGGGAACCCACGAGACGAAATCCTTGGATGGCCTGGGGCAAGATCCGGGATTGCTTTTGAAGAGGACTGTTTTTCACAAAGATGTTCCTCTCGAAACTATGGATGAGAAGCGGATCCCCAATACTACTATCATATCAGAATCATATCCAATGATGGGGATAGGTCAAGAGATGTGGTCAAGAGTCGCGCCTCTCCCTGCCAAGCAAAATGGACAGTTTCGTGCCAAGCCCAAGTGCCTAGCCATGAGTAGCTGGTGCACAAACGCGACTTGAAACGGACGTCTTCCACGCTCTTGTTTGCATTCTTGGGCTGCCCCCGCCTATCCAACCTCTCCATTGAGCCTTGCCGTACAGGCATTAGAGTGGAGCGTCGGCCGTGTGAAAGCGGCAAACTGTCACTACTAGCCATTCTTGAACCAGAACTTCGATTAGTGCTGCGGCTTTCCCTTTCCTTCGTCGACGGGCAAGAGTTCTCTGCTGGCGCTGGGCTTCCAAAGGAAGACTGCCACCACTGCACCTTCTGGACAAGTTCCTCGCGGTGCTTCTGCAGCAAAGACTCAATTTCGTCCACCAACTCGCATGGCGCTGCATTTGGTGCCGGCATCTTTGCGCCCTTAATTCACTTGCAGTAACATTCCCAGAGCCAAACTGCAAAGCATGAGAGTGCGGCTGGCGTGCAGCAGTCATATCCAAACACCTTGCCTACCAAAAGCCGCAAGCTGCCCATCCCTGCCTAGTGAAACCAACAATTGCAGGTTGCCTTTGTTTCCCGTCACAGGCCAAAGCTACTAACGCGTGTTTGCTTCCTGTTCCTTCCTCTCCTACCTGCCATGGCTGCCATGGTCAGGAGCATCCCAGCTTTGCCTAACTCCCCCCGCTCCACAGCAAGCCGGGGTGATTGTGCTTATTGCACGCTCGAAAATGGCTCACCATTCAGATTTCGGATTTTCTTGTTGGTCGCGCATTGAAGCTTGATTTGGGGGGGGGGAGGCAATTCAGCCTTTTGCAGCATCAGTAGTTTTTACCATGTGCGCTTCCCGGTTCCATTGAACGAGTGCAGGAACGTATGCGCGCAAGATTAGCTGTGCAGTGGTTAGGAAATGCGTGTCCCATTGATGGGCCCCACGTTGCTTGGCCATGCTTCGCCAGTTGCCATCACTTCGCCATCACTTCGTCGTCTGAACCAAGTGTGGACCGCCTTGGCCTATCCGCTGCACGCAGCACCCTCCCCTGACCCTCCAGCAGTTTCCGCTCCGCCTTTTTAGAGTTGGAGCTGGTGCCACCCTGCGGTGACCTCCTCCAGCGGCTTGCTGGGAAGTGGCAGCCCTGCGCGCTCTGGTGCTGTGAGTTGCCCCAAGCGCAACGCCGGTTGGAACACTTTGTTGCTCAGGACAGCGAGATTAGAAGTGCAACATACTATATTGAACAGGCTCAATTGCTGAAACGATCTGAAACATGTGTAATGTTGTCACTGGCAACTTGTTTTTGCACAATCAGTCCTTTCTGAATTCTGAGGGTGGTGAGGTCAGCAACTGCAGGACCTTAAAACACAGATATACAAATACCACGTAAGGGTTGGCTGCGTCGAACGCCGATACAGCATCGCCAAGCGCATCTCTGCAAGACTGTGCACGTTCAGGGTGCCTGACATGTGTGCTAGTTATGTATAACTTGGGAAGCCTACATGCCGTGCTTATGCAAAGCCATTGCTCTCAGTCCTCCGAACATGGCCATGGAAGGCGAGGGGTTGACTTCCAGCAAGAGCGCCGAGCCACCTCAGCTCAGAGGTTGCTCCCCGTGTGCAAAAAGGGGGGTGGGGGAGGGAGGGCGAAGCCCTTAATTCCTACACCTGGTCTTCCTCAATTCTCACAAGTACACTCATTTCACTCATTTCTCACAAGTCAAATTTGTCGGAATTTCCACGTTTTTCAACATTGCCAAAAAACACTGGTCAAAACCCAGGTTGGACTCGTGAGAATTGAGTGAGTTTAGGGTTGATGTTTTTTTGTGCTTTTTTTGCTCAGGATCAGGTTCAGGGCTTTTAGAGTTTTCATTTAGGATTTTTAGGTTTCGAGATTTGAGGATTTACTGTTTTTAGGGTTTTTAGGGCGTTGGGTTTCAAGGTTTTCGGTGTCGGGATTTTAGGTTCAGGCTTAAGGCTGTGAGGGTTTAGGTTGGGTTTTTCGGGTTTTAGGGATTTTAGGTTTAGGCTTCTGGTTTAGGGTTTAGGGTTTCGGGAGTTTAGATGGGTTTCTAGGGTTTGGATTGTTTTGGGTTTAGGGTTTCAGGTTCTTAAGGTTAATGTTTTGGGTTTTTAGGGTTTAAAGTTTGGGCCTTTTAGGGTTTAGGGCTTCCACGGTTTAGGTTTACGGTTTTTGGGGTATAAAAGTTTTAGGGTTTAGGGTTGTCAGGGGTTAGGTTTAGAGTTGTTAGGGTTTAGGATTCGTTGTTTCAAGGTTTAAATTTAGGGTTGAGGGTCTTAGGGTTTAGGTTAAAGGTTGATGGATTCTTGGGTTTGGGTCTTGAGCTTGTTTGGGACTGGTTAACGGTTTAGGGTTTTTCGGGTTCACGTTTCGGGCATAGGGTTCTTAGGTTTTAGGGATTCGGGCTTTAGGGTTTAGGTTTTCGTGTTGATAGAGTTTAAGGTTCGGGTTTGCATGGGTTTGCCGTTTCCATGATTTAGGTTGTTTTGGTTTAGGTTGAAGGTTTTTAGGGGTATAAAGCGTTTAGGGTTTTTAGGGGTTAGGTTCTTGTTTTTACGGTTTAGGTTTCGGGCATTTAGGGGTTGAGTTTAGGGTTAAGGGTTTCTAAGGTTTAGTGTTTAGGGCTTTTAGGGTCTAGGTTTCGGGTGTTTGCGGAATGGATTATTTAGAGTTTAGGGTTGTAGGGTTTAAAGTTTTAGAGTTTAGAGGTTTTCAGAAATTAGAAGTTCTAAGGGCTTTGAGGGTGTAGCGGGTTTCTGGGCTTAGGCTTCGGGATTTTTAGGGTTTGGGGTTTTCAGGGTGTAGGTTTGGGGCTAGAGTTTTTAGGGTTTAGGAAAACAATGTTTAGGGTTTAAGTTTAGGGGTAGAGTTTAGGTTTTTTTCAAGGTTAGGTCTAGGGTTTGTGGGGAATAGAGTCTTGAGGGTTTAGGACTTTCAGTGTTCCGGTATTGGATTTTGGGGAGTTTGTACGGTTTAGGGTTTTTAGTTTTTTTTGTGGAGCTCCGCCGTCAAAATACCGCAGAAACCACGAAAAACAACTCGTGAGAAACGAGTAGATTTGACTCGTGAGAATTGAAGGAATTCGACTCGTGAGATTTAAGTGCGCTTCCAGAGGGAAGGGGTGTCTGCAACACATGGCCCTGCCTCGTGTCACTAGGAAATCCGCTCCAAACAGCTCCCAGCAGTTCCTTAGCCAGGCATCATGCTTGTAGTACCACCTCTGCCTCTTCGGTTGGCCATGCGACAAAACAATGAACGACAAGAGCAAGCAACACCGCTGTACTGCGCTTTTGCGGAAGCTGGCTCCCATTGGCTTTGCAAATCAGAGTCTTCTTCCCTTATTCTTCTACGGAATGCCACTTTCCGACGTTCAGGTTCCCGCCAGCTTCCCAGCCAAGCGTCGGAAGTGTGAAGAAGTGCCTTCGGCCCGCAGCGCGTAGGTTGCGCACCGTGCGGCCAAGGACATCGCCAAGCTGAGGGGGCAGCTATAAATACCCCCCCCCAAAAAAAAAGAGCCTGACAGGCTGCCAGCCTAGCAGCATTGGACTACATGCGCCCGCCTGTTCAAAGATTTTGTCTGCGAAGTCCTCACCCAGTGCTTCCAGCGGCAAGTTTTGTTCAGCTTCAGCATAGCCTGCTGGCTGACGTGCAAGGCTGCAAACTAAAGGCAAGATGTTGCTTTTACAGCCAAACTCTTTGGGTCTTTCAACGAAATCTGGGGATGGCCCCTCTGCCAGCAACGTTCTGCGGGCCATGGTTTGC